AAAAAAAAAAAAAAAAAAAAAAAAAAGTTACTTTTGAAATTCAAATAACCGTTTCTTGCAATTTGTGAAATCGCAGAAAATATTAGGATTGTGTTTTAGAAGATAATCTTTCTTTTTTCTTAAATAATAATATAAATTAGACCTTTTAGGCATTTTTTGTCGTTAATCCTTTTTCGTTTTCTATTTCACAATTGCCATGAGATTGGATTGGGAACTAATACTTCCTTGGCTTTGTTGCAGGATTATTATGGGGTTAACAAATTGAAACAAGTCTCTCAGAGGATAAACTTCATCAACAGGCATTACCCTTTGTTTCTTTTTTATTTTTTATTTTTTTCATCCATATATAATCCTGGGCAAGTAGTATTGCTAATTGAAGTATAATTGTACAGGTTTCCTGTTCCATTGTCTCTCCAAGTTATCCTGTACAGGTTGGAGAATAATTACTACAGAAGTATGGATGCCATGAAGCACGATGTGGAGGTCATGCTCGAGAATGCGGAGTCGTATTTTGGGAAAAATGCTGAGCTTTCGACAAAAATGAATCGGTTGTCCGACTGGTTCAGAAAGACACTATCGTCGTTGTAGTTTTTTTTAACTGGACACAATTTTGTACACAGAATTAGCCGGCACCTTAACTGTGAGTGGGGCTTTTGTTATATTTTGTATATGGTCGTTTTTTTTTTCTTTTTTCTTTTTTTTTTTTTCTTCGAACGGAGTTAGCTAGCAAGTTCAAAGAATATTTGAATAGTGACATTACAGAAACGGAGGTACAGTATTTTTCCAATATTAACCAAAGGGTTTGAGGGAGATTTCTAGGAAGAAATTGTTTATTGTACATAGTTTTGGACGCTGGAAGCATCTCAATTGAAACAAATTCTGTTTTGTGAATACCACAACTTGATTTGTCAGTCAATCTCATGGAAAATTATTTTATCTAGCCACCTTATTCGGATTGGGCTGAGCCGGTGGTGGAGTTGATGGTTAGGTAGCCGGATCTCGTCGGGAGGGCTTTGGGGGTTTGGTGACGTGGCGACATTCGACAGGCGGAGGACAATGGAGAGGGGGAGAAATGGTGGTGGGGAGTTCCTGGTACGAGATTTCTTTGTTGGTGTGTCTGTCTTTTTTTTTT